TAGGTACAAGGGGCCTAATTCAGCTGTCGGTGAAATGGGGTATGTCCCTGACCTCATTCAGAGCAAGACTGAGCCATAATTACCTTTATGGTTAGCATTACATGACTAAGGGCTAAGGTAATTTGCCTTATTCTCATCCCATGAATTCTAAACTTTCTCTCCCATGTGCATGTCCAAGTGTCTAGTGCAGTGTATAATAAATTAAAATAATTGTAATCCTTTTCCAAACTTTTCACCCACCTGTTCAGATTGGATACTGCCAACTTCATGCTATCCTCTTTAAAAAGGAGTATGTATTCGTAAGGTGCTGTTTCTTTGCCAGATTTCTGACTGACCAACATTTAGACCTAAAATAAGAGGTGTTTAGATTCTGAATAGCTATAAAGGTGAAATAGCTAGTAAGTACATAGGAGTTTACATTTGTCTGTATTGTCTGTAAAGTTGTAATGTATGAAATTGTCCAATATAAGCTTTGTATAAACATAATTCATGTGCAAGTATTTCTGTGGAGCTATGAGAATGAGATTTGTGTTAATAGCTCAGCACAAAATGTTAAAGTTCTGTGTACTGAATTCATAAAGCTAAAGATAAAATTTGGTCCTGTACAGCCTACGGAAATCCTTTTTTGCCTCAAATTCTTTTCATTCTGGAAAGTTATAGAAGCTATTTTGAGCTGGGTAGCATATGCTATTCTTAATAATAAACAACCTACCAACTAGCCTTGCAGAAGGTATATTTGCTCATCTTTCCACCTTACACACTCCACATTCAAAAGTTGTTAAAATGATTTTGACTGCTGTTACCCAGAAAATCCTATTTTACATTTATAATGGGATTACTGTAAATCATTGTTATACCACAATGATTTTTTTCTCACGAATTACCTGGTCACTCCATCCTGGCTGGCCTGGTAGTAGTAGCATAAAGAGAATATAAGAATTTGGGTTCTGTTCACATTTGGGAAATTAATTCATGCTTGCAGATTGAGTTGGAAAGAGAGGAAGGGTGCATGTCAGTTATTACCTCTTTTTACAGCTAGGTACACTGATGAGTTCTGGAGAGGAGCTGGATATAGGAGGAAAACGAGGGTGGGAAACTGGCTTGCTGGTGGTGAGGGAGAATAGGCACGTTTGTACTGTGATTATCATGCCTTATTTAAGAGAGGGGGTTTAGTAGTGGATAAAGTACTGAAATGGAACAAACTTTAGGTTTGAATCCTGGCTCCTGGGTGTTTTTCCTAGGCACTTTGGGGCAGGTTCCGGAGCTGCTTTTTATGTACAAGATCCTAATCTGTAGAATGGAGACAAAACGTACCTATTTACTGTGAAACATTTCAGTATCACAGTGATGAGGTACTACATAAGATAATTGCTTCCAAGATTTTGTTAGTTGTAATTTTATATGCAAGAGAATAAATACTTGATTCTATTCTCAGTATATTTTAGAACATATAGATAGCTCAATTTCTGCTGAAGGGGAATATACCTGGAGCTTTATTTTGTCAGCAAGATAGTCATGGATTAAAATGGAGATGTTCAGTGTTGATGATATGAAGTATATCAAGAAGAGAGAGCCCAGAGTTCTGCAGAGCACATTTAAGTTCTTAAGTCAATTTAAAGCTCATAAAAGCAGTTGGTTTGGTAGCTCTGGAGACTGAAATCCACTATATACACAGAAAACCACCAAAACAGTTCAAATGTGGTCTGGGTACCTGATTCCTTAGAGGAGTGATTTTCAACCAGAGTGCCATGGCACCCTGGTGTACCTTGAAATCATTTCAAGAGTGCTGCACAGTGCTATACAATGGTAGCACTGTTAGGTGTATAATCATGATTCACAAGATATAAACCCAGAGATTTGAAAAAGAAATGCAGGGTTTAAAAACATTCTGACGTGGTATTTCTGAGTTTATTGAAACAAAAGAATTGCTCTATTATTTTTTCTGTAGTCAAAAAATGAGTTAAACCAAGAGCTGGCATTTTCCAAGGGGTATCCTGAGCTTAACGAGGGGAGCCTTCAGTCTAAAAAGGTTGAGAATCACTGCCATGGAGTACAAAGGGAATTATGGAGCTATTTGTGAAATACTGTAGTTGTGACTTGTGATGTGACTGCCTGGCCACTAGATGGAGTCATCCAGGATGTGTTTGTGTTTGAACACAACATCCCAACCACAAATGTTCAAAAATCATGAGTAGCTTTTTTAAAAGAAAAAAAAAACGTGTTTTTTTGCCTTCTAGTTTTTGAATCTCTAGGTCACATGTGGGTTGTGTTTTTCAGCTTCAGTCTATAACAGAGGGGCTAGAAACTTTAGTTTTTTTAATCAAAGCTGAGATTTTCATAACTCCAGGACTTGGAATTTTAACAAAGAACACTAATTATTGCAAGACTCTTGCTAAAACTGTGAGTGGGAAACTGGAGTCACTGAGCGTGCTTTCCATGAACACCCTGTGAACCGTGTTGATTTGTATTAAGTCTGTGATTGTTCTTACTGTGTTGTATAAAATGTGAAGGCTTGTCTGTGGTCTTGGGTCCCTGAGCACTTGTCATTCTTGTGAATGGCTGACTGATTAAATTATGACTGGTACTGATAATATGCAGGAATCCAAACGCGTGACTGATTTTACATTGTTTCCTTACTATTTGCCCTTTCAGCTTTCCTTGTAAGACTTGAAAGACTAGAAATTTAAGGGGGAATGAAATACAAACAGTACAAAACAGGCTTACTGCACGTAGACTTCAGTGAGGATAGGCAGTTTGTTGTTACCGTTTAGATAGCTGGTGGACTGGGGAAATGGCAGCTAGAAGGGATTTATCTCCTTTTTAGCTGGAAAAAAAAATACAAAGCTAATCAACCTAGCATCTTATGAAAGTTACACAGTGAAATAATTATTGGAAAAACAAATTGGTTTACATTAGCTTCCTGATTTATTTTTTGATTGACAAAATTATAAAAACTGGTCTAAACTAGAATCGGTTTACTAATACAGTTCACTGGCATAGCTAAACTCTTAAGCCCTCCTAGAGTAGATGTAATTTATACTGGCAAAAGTGCCTTTGCAGGTATAACTTATGCAGGTTACCAAAGCAAAGCAAACTACATCTGCAAAAATACTTATTTACACCCGTATAACTGTCTACAGAAGGGCATTGACAAGTAAAGAAATGAAAGAAAAGCCACGCTTCTGTAACTGGCATTACTGCAATCGCACATGCATCTAAAGTAGACCTGCAGCCGAATCCGTGGGCTTTGTAGTACTTTGTCCACGTGGATCTGATTGTAGGACTGTGGCAGACATCCTTCATCTCTGCTTTATTGTGTGCGTACAGAAACTGTGTTTTAACTGGACCTTTAGGTTGCAAAAAAACCTTTTTGCCTTTTCTGGCACATGAGCCATTCTCCTTTATTTTTGTATAAAAATAACCATCAAATAGGCTCTTTAACTATTGCCTTTAATCTTCTAAGAACTGCAGAAAATAGCCAGAACTAAAAGGCTGCTAACTTCATGAAAACATATATAGAAAACAACTGATGATTGATTCACTGGGTGGTTTCTTGTTGGGTTTTTTTAATAACATACTAAATTTGTTGTTTGTATTACTATAGTGCCCGTGAGGCTTGGTCATAAACCAGAGCTTTCTTGTCCTGGGCACTGGAGAAACAGAGCACCAACATACTCCTTGCTTCAAATAATTCAAGAAGCAAGAAACAAATAGGATTGATGCTCACGTAGAGGTCTATAAAAAGAAATGGTGGCCACAGACTTCTACCTCCTTATGGAAGAGGTGGAAATAGAAACATTTTTTAAGGCTACTTGGATCACTGGGGAATCTGGATGCCTTAAAAAACACAATTGACTATTAAAGCAAAGTTATACACGGAGGAGAAACCGCATCGCAAAAGCTATGATGAGCAACTTGGCACAAGCTGTCAGTGCAAGGCGACAGCAGACGGGTTGGCTGGCTGCACACGCAGGGCGGGTGGGCTCGTGTCTGGGGCGCAGGCGAGCGCGGTACCCGAACACGTGCAGCCCCAGGAGGCTGAACGATTCACACAAAATATGCTGCACTTAGCCCTCCGTTGGCTTCGGTTATCTACAAGGCCAGTGACCACGAGGGAGTGGATGACAACATCTTCCGAGCAAAAACAGCTGGGTGCTCTCCACCCGGCAGACAGGAGCAGGGCAAGGGCCAGGCCCAGCTGGGGCTTGACCCGTCCGAGGTCGGCGGGGGGATGATGGCATACAAGGGTCTTTGGGTGAAAAATCCAGTATCTTCTATTAGATCAACGTCAATAGTCGGAAACGTTTTTGTTAGCAAGGTTTTGGGTTGAAAAACCCCTTCGCCCAGGTGAGGAAGCATCTGCAGGTCGGGGTGGGTGTGTTGGTCCTGGAGGGGACGGAGAGGTCCGGGAGTGACACCCCAGCTGCTCCAGGCCTTGTGGGGTGGGGGGGGGCAGCACCTTAAATGCCGCCGCAGCGACACCAGGAGCCCGGGGGAGAGGCCGCCCGGCCTCCATTTTAAACACCGAGCGGAAGCCTCCATCTCCCGCTGCGCCCTTAGTAAAGATGGCGCTGACGGCACGGCGGCTGTCCTTCATTGATTCCCCCGCCCCCCCGCACATGGCGGCGAGCGCACTTCCGGCACTGCCCACTTCCGGCAGTGGGAGGCCCTCTGGAAACATGGCGGGCGGGAGCGGAAGCGGAAGTGATGTCTGCCTTGCCCGGACAGGGTGAGGGGAAGCCACGGTGGCGCTGTGCGCGCGGCGGTTGCTGGGTGACGGGTGAGCTCGCGGGGTGGGCCGCGCCAGGCACTGGGCTCGTGGTCGGGGCCTTCCCGTGGGCGGGCTCGGAGGAGCCCTGTCAGGGCCAGACACCCTGGGGTGACCGTTTCCTCCCTGCCTAGTCCAGGGCAGGCCAGGCCAGGCCAGGCCCGGTGCCGGGCACGCTATAAAAAGCTCCCGTGAAAGTTTTCCTGGTTCGTTTTTTTTTTTTTTCTTTTCTTTTCCTTTGCCCTTTGGTATTTGGGCCAAAAAGCGCGTTGCACTCCTCAGGGCAGCCCGAGCAGGAGCAGGGCCGATGCCGTACGGTGAAAAGCGCCCAGATTTTGGTGACCGTCAGCGTGAGAAGCGTTTCAGCATCTTGTTTATACTTCTCGCAGCTCCATCATGGCAGAAACTGCGGCCTCCCCGCTGAAGCACTTTGTGCTGGCCAAAAAGGCGATCACTGCAATCTTTGACCAGCTGTTGGACTACGTCACCGAAGGAGCGAGTTTTGTGGAAGGTAATTGTTCTGTGTTGGACAGAGCCCCTGCCTTTTTTCGGTGTCCTTGGGCATCACCTCACAGCATTGTGTCCACTGGTTTATAAATAGCAATCACACGTTAGTCGGCATTATAGGGAGTGTATTGTGGACGGAGACAGTATGATATGACCCTGGAGCGCTAGATTCAGCTGGGTTTTATTTTCTGCTCTGCTTGATTTTGGATTGACCTTCGGCAGATTGCTTGTTTACTGATTCACAGAAGTTTAGGGCTAGGAGGGACCTCGTGAGGTCATTGGGGCCAGCCCCTTGCTCTGGGCAAATAACCCCAGCAAGGCGTGCATCTGGGCTCCTTGGATGCATGATCCTTTATGGGTTATCTGCTGAGCATTCGCAGTGGACTGCTGCACAAATCAGAGCAGGACTGAGTTTGTGCTCTTAACTAAAGGCAGGCACCTATAGAGCAGTTGGCTGATTTTCAGAAATCTTGAATACTGCTGACTTCTGTTGACGTTCAAGAGACTTGTGTTGCCCAACACTATGGTACGTCTTCACTGCAGTCAGCCAATGCTATTATTTGGCTCCCGTCTGGTCCACATACAAGAACCTCTGACCTTGGTCATAATAAAACACGAGTGTGGCTTTCTCATAGACTGGTAACCTCCTTGCTCTTAAATGTGGTGAAGGGGAAACTACTTGAGTGCCCATAGGTCTGCTTACTTTCCTGCAATTCCCCGCGTGCATCCAAAAAGAAAGACCAGGTTTTCCACGGTTAGCACAGGAAGATTTGTAGAGGGCTGGGTACAGCGCTAGGTTAGACCAGTAATGACCTGTTTTGACTCCGAAGTGAAGGCTCATCCTGACAGCAGTGGAGTTTAGGGATGGGGGTTTAACTCGGCTTTCTGAAAGCAACAGGGACCTCTTGTAGGAGCTAAGTGAAACCAATGAACTAGTAAATTACATTTAATGTGCTAGTAAATTAAATCGTAACATTTTTTAGACTTGGCTGTACAAAACTTTTTTTGAGATGATCTAGTTGGGGCTAGTCCTGCTTTGAGCAGAGGGTTGGACTAGATGTGACCTCCTGAGGTCCCTTCCAACCCCCATTTTCTATGATACTGTGGTGTTAATGGTGTGTTACAGTTCCTAAAGTCTGATGTTCTAGCTAAGTCATAGCAGATAAAGCAATGCTGTAGATCAGTGGCGGCCAATATTTTGGCAAGCGTGCCACAAAGTAGCCCCACAGCCTTCCTCTTTACTACTCTGATCCTCTTCCTCTGCCCAAGCTGCTGCTCTGTCTTCTGCTCTCTTTGCTTGCCTGGTCTCCTCTGCTTTCTGCCCTGTTTTCTGCTCCCAACTCTATCTGCCGCTGTGTTGCCTAGCACTTCTTTGATTTGCCACATGCCACACAGACAGGCTTTGCCACTTGTGGCATTTGTGCCACAGGTTTGGCCCCCCTGTTCTAGATGCATCTACAAAATCAGCCTCAAGATTTTTTAGCAGTGCCTGCCTGGACCTGTCAAATAAGTGGCTGATATCAGAAGCAATTTATATTCGTCTTACAAATACTTTATTAAAGGATTGGAGAGCCTTGGAGTGTTAACTATTCACATGACTCCTTTTATAGACATATTTTTCTTTTTTTGAATAGCAACATACAGGAACCCAGAACTCAAAAATGTGGCAACTGAAGATGAACTAGAAAAAGTACAGGCATATAAAAGCAAATTGGTGGTCATTGGTGAGGTGCTTTCACGGAGGCACATGAAAGTGGCATTTTTTGGCAGGTAATTATTTCATTTAACAAACTTAATTTCGTTTTTCCTTTTTGGACTTGGCGTCCAGCTCCAGTTCACTTATCCTGGGATTTTGTGCAATCTCACATGTTGATTTCTTCACAGCATAATGTCAAGATATGTTCATTCTTGCCTGTTTACTGCTGAATCTTCATTTTGATGCTATCGTGGTCTGTAATATAAGCTTATTTGTCTACATTAGGTCACATGCTTTCTCCAAAGGCAAAATTCAGTGAGATGATTTGTTAGTGCTGTGAATCTTTGAGTAGGGCATTTCCTTAGTCAAGCAGTAGATCTGCTCAAGAGCATGTTTGAAATTGCCAGCATCTTCTTCTCATAGTTTTTTTAAATTGGTGGTGTACTTTTACTTTTTAGACTCCCTGTTTGTTTTTAAGGTCTTGGTTTGTGTTAAACAAATATAGCCTTGAAAAATAAACGTTTGGTTGTTGAACGTCTCCACACACGATCAATGGCAATTAAAAAAAAAAAAAAAAAAGGGACACAGGTTTAGTTTGGGGATTTTTTTTAAAGAAGTGTTGGAGTTAAGAAGTAGTTAATATCTACTTAGTACAGTGGAGTCGCATCTTACGTGCATTTAACTTGCGCAAATTCAACTATACGCACTCGGCCAAAAAAAATAAGAGAAGAATAACAACTTAAATAGTGCGGGCAATTCTGCCTGCCAGTCCACTCAATGAGCGTATGCCCCAGAGTGAGCGTGAGATGGGAGAAGTGAATCTGCTGTTCCCTCAGTCGGTCTCAGTTCCCGCGTGCCTCTCATAGTGTGAGCATCTTGCTGCGGTGAGTGTGATTTTACTGTTTAAAGATATGTATTTAGAAGAACCAGCAAGTTGGAATCTTCATAAATTTGCTGAAGTGTTCCAAGCAGTGAAACACTTGAATGATTTAATTTCTGAATACGATCCCTCTATGGAACGAAGCCTCAAAATCACATGTAGTATTACGGATGATTTGAGACTGTACCCAGAAAGGTTTAAGCAGCTCAAGACACAACAGCAACAGTTGCCGATTGCCATGTTTTTCAAGAAAAAACAACTAGCAGCAGATGAGCCTATGCAATCAACGTCTCAAGCTGAACCAGAGCCAACCAC